AAACTTTTTTAACTAAAAAAATTTTTAAATGCTGCCAGTATGCATATGGAAGTGCTCACTGCAGCGAGGTTGGAAGCAGCCTTAAAGTCATCCACTCATTGTACATTGGCTAATCATGTTATTAATTTAGCTGTGCAGCTAAGAAAAAGCAATGACAGAGTCTATAGTATGACCTGGGAAGAGCACCATACTATGTTGTGAAGAGATAAAGAGGGCCTGGTAGAATAAAATCCATATAACAGCAAAAAGCAAAATAAAAACCCACCACTAAGTCTGTTTCTGTCTTTATAGAGAAGAGTCTGGATTCACACCACTGCTAAACTTGCTTACCTGTGGGTACCTTATTCTTTACAGATGTCTGTATTTACATTTTTTTTTTCCTCTTTGTCTTTTTTACTGACTGGTAACGGGATCGCAACCCTCGGTGTTGCGCCCGCACCACGCTCAGCCAGTGAGTGGGAACCGGTCTCCACATGGGATCCAAACCCTCGGTGGGAGTCCACGCTCCCAAGCGGCGCATTCTCCAGTGCGCCACTGGGCCAGCCCAGTATTTACATTTTTTTAAAGCACCAATTACTTTAAAAACAAAACTAATTTTTAAAAGGCAGTAAGACAAGTTCCGTCAACTAATAGGACAAGAAGCAAAGCCACCCCAGCGGCAATGAGCACACCTAGTGCCAAGGACCAGGGCTCAGTCACGGAGAATACAAGATGAGCTTGGGACATCTTATTATGCCAGATATCACAGGAATGCTTCAAAACACTGTCAGGACATAGGCGGCAACTTGAAGGGGCTCCCACTGGCCAAATCTGGAACTATTTGAGAAAGTCCCCTGCAAAGGACCATGACGAATTATAGTTGGAAAAAAATGGGAATCCATCAGTCCATTATGGATATAAACGGATATATAAAAATAACGATGGGAGGGTGGGTTGGCTGGCAAATGAGGAAGGAGTGCTGGACTGGAAAAACAGCATTTGGCAATCATCATAGTAGAGATTGAATCAGGCCAGAATCGGCAATATTTGCTAAATCTGTGCAGAAGTTTGATGGGTAGAATATTTATATGGGCTATATTATGTCTCCAGAGACTGTTTATTAGTTGGAAGGGGAAAAATAGTAACTGTGCCATGGAGAGAGTGGGACAACACCTTGAACAGATATACCAGGTATTAATTTATTGCCTCTTAGCTCCAAACTCACCCTTCCTTGTCACACTGAATAAAGCAGGGACTCTGCAAACTACATGTCCCCTCTGCCGGCTGGCCATGAGGCTCCGAAGGGCTGGCAAGGCTGCAGGAGGAGGGAGGACTTTTTCTCCTTCGCTTTCTTCGGTCTGGCACGGGTCCCAGCAGCACTCTCCACAGCGGCAGTGCTCGGCTGGCACAGCTCCGCGGTGCGCACCTCGGTCGGTGTACTCTTCAGTGTGGGGCAGGCAGTGTGTCCCCAGGGCAACCACAGCCACCCCTCAGAGGCCTCTCAGCCTTGGGGGAATTTCCTCTGGGTTTCTAAGTTCTTCCTTACCCTCTCTTCCCTCGGCCCTAGGGATGGTAGTTGTTTTCTGCTGTTTCAGAGTCTTCTTTTTACCCCTTTTAGTAGTTAACCACCTTTTACACAGCTAACATTTATATTAAAATTTTCCTGCTCACATTTTCCTCTCATAGGACCAGGTGATCAAAATTAACATCACCACTGAGGGGCAGACGGACATGGTGTGCCTCCCGACATGATGCCGAGAGGCCACACAACACAGGCAGTGTTCCATCCACCCGGACTGCAACGCCAAGTCGAATCGAGAGGAAATATCAGATAAACAAAAATGAGCAGCCTCACTTAAAAGACAGGACTGTATTCTCCCAAAATGTCAATGTCGTAAGAGACAAAACTATGGAAATGCTCCAGATTAAAGGAGAACAAAGAGACATGACAACTAAGTAGGATACCCGATCCCAGACTGACTCCACAACTGCAGACAGGAAAAATGCTGTAAAGGACACTGAGGTCAACTGGAATACAAACAGTAGATTATCTTATCAGTGCTAAATGTACTGAAGTTGGTAACTATACTGTGGTTGTCAGAAAATATCCTTATTCTTAGGAAATATCCACTGAAGTATTAGGGGTAAAAGGCCATGATGTATGTGTAGCAAGTGAGTGCACATTTGAGAACACAGATGACAAATCAAATGGGACAAAACGTTAACAGGCATATCTGGGTAAAGGATATTTGGGTCTTAGATGTACAATTCTTATTCTAACAACTTTTCTGTAGGTTTGAAATTATTTCCAAATCAAATTTAAAAAAATTTTTTTTAAATGGCAATAGGATATAGCAGTGGTTCTCAACCATGGCTGCACCCTGGAAGCACCCAACTGGGACCCACGCATCTGTAGTTCTCAGTTCCCCAGGTGCTTCCAATGTGCAGACAGGGTAAGAAACACTAGCATAGTGTGAGAACTCACTCATTAAATTTCGGACATGAGGAGTGGCTCTTTTGTCCTCTGAAGAGTAAGTGCTGGGGAACAGGGTCTCTGGGTCATGCAGACTCCTAGTCTCAGCTTCATGTGGAATGGCAGAGACCCTGGAGATGCTAGACAGGTAGAAGTTGAGTTTGCATGGCCCTGGCCAACATGAACAGGATTCCCCTTCTAGGGGGTCCCAGGCAAGGGAAAAAGGCATTTCCAGGATGACTGTGCCAGGAATTAAACAATTTAAAGCTGGTGGGAGCTAGAATGGATAACTGGCCCCAGGGCTACGCCCCATCCCCATCTTTTTGATTTCACTTTAATATGGCAGATCTTGGTCCACCTGGCAGAGCAGAGGGGAAGAAGCTGCTCTCTCAGCAGGCAAGCAGAGAGGAATGAACAAAGGAAGGGTGTGTGGAATCCGCTTCTCAAGTAGGTTCAAGGAGTGGGTTACCAACTGGCACATTCTCCCAGAGCAATTTCCTGCTCTAGAGGCCTAGTTCTGTTGTGCAGAAAGAGTGGTGGGCATCCAACATCACAGTCTAAATACTGGTCACCTCAGCTCCAACCTGTGATGGGGGAGCCACAGAATGATACATATCAAAATTGGTAAAGGGCCACGAAAATCGATTACATTGTACAATGTTGAATATACTAATTATCACGATTTGAGCATCACATATTGCACACAGGCATTGATATTCAACTCTGAACGCCACAGATATGTACAATCAACTATGTTTCAATTAAAAAAAAAACAAAAAAAAAACTAGGAGACAGGGTCAGGGGAGGTGGTGGTAGTGAAAGGTCACAAACATTGTTGCCCACAGTGCAACAGCTAGCAACAAGAGATGGGATGGGCTGGGCTACATTATTAAATCCCCTGTAGCTCTTAATTCATGAATGTTTTGGTTCACTTTGTGGATAGGGGTTAGTTTTTACTCCACTCCCTTCCCACATCTTTTCCACTTTCAGGTGGAACAGACTTGCATGATATTTGGGCATCTCCAAATCACCGGGTCCAAAACTGAACGTGAAATCATGCCCCTATATGTGGTCCCTACTTCCTCCCTATCTCTGTGACTTTGTTTTCCCAGTTGACTAAGCCTAAAACCTGGGACTCATCCTACACTCCTCCCTTCACTCTGTCCCACATCCAATTAATGATCAAATTCTGCCATTTTTTCCTCCTCCAAACAGTCCCTGAGTCCACCCCTCACCATCTCCACCAACGGTGCCCTACTTCATGCTCTTAGGCTCTCTCCTGCACTACTACATCAACCTAACTGGAGTCTAGTCACATCCCAATACATCCTCTGAACTGCAGCCACAGGGGCCATCCAGGACAGGTCAAACCCTTTAACAGCTACCTCCATCTATAAGTCAAGTCCGATCTCCATGAATGTCCTATAAGACTCTAAATGACCTGGGCTTTGCCACTTCTCCAACTTCTTTTCCCAGCCTCGTATTTTAAGCTCCAGGCACAATGAGCTACTTATAGCTCCCTGCACACTCAATCCCATTTCACCTCCTGTGTACCCTCTCCCACAAAGCCTCCAGCCTCCAGACTTGGGCATCTTCTCCAGTAAGTCACCCCTGACCTCTCCAGGCACCTCCTTTTGACTCCCATTCTTTTATTATTACAATCACTGCACCGCATGGAAATTACCAGCTTACTAGGACTCCAAGCTCCTTGGAGACAAGGGCAACATCATCACTGTATCCCCAGTGTCATGCACACAGTAGCTGCTCCATTATTTGTAGGATATACTGGACTGAAAAGCATCTGTGGCTTTTTGAATACCAAGGACTTTAGAATTTGGCAACAGACATAATGAAAACACATGCAAATCATGATGAACTGCAGACAACACCAACATTTAAAACACTGCACTGCTGCTCTGGAACTGAAATATCCCCAAAATAATTAAGAACTACATGTTGAGGGATGATACAGAGTTTATTGAATTAGATTTTTCTATTTACAACTGAGATCACATCTACATACTATTTTGCTAGTCTACATGGGTACATTATTTCTAACAAGTTTAAGACTTATGATGAATGGGCTCAATCATACAAAAACACATTCACACACTCACACTAAGTATTTCGAAACAGTAGTGCATACATTATACTCTTCCCATAAAGCCGGCTTTGATTAAAAACCACTAGTTTCAAAGATCAGTCTCTGATTTTGAAGATGAACCAAGATACACACCATATGATTCTAAAATCTATTTTAGCCATTTTGTACAGTTGCTATCTTATTGGACTACAGTATATATTTTTTAAAAGGACACTGATGAGGGGCACCATCTGGTGTTCGCCAGACAGCTGGCTTCCTCCCCCACCCCCCAAAAACCTTTGGCCAAGAGTTCTCCATTGTGAAGACTGAAAGGACCCAGTGATATTTCAGCATCCATCCCATCACTGCTTTGGAGGTAAAAGAAGCGGGCCTACATCCTTGAATTCTACCACACTACGTAACTCGCAAATAGTTCTGAAATTAGAACACTTACCACGTACTTAAAAACTTAGGAGCAAGGAGCGTCAGCTAGAATAAGGGAAAAGAAAGTCACAGGGTGCATAGGTAAGTAGGTGGGTACGTGAAAAGCCAAGCTGCTCGTCCAACACCAGCAGACATGTGCTTCAACCAGATGAACTCAGGAGGCCAACAGCAGCAGACCTGCTCAATTCACCTTCCAAATCAGAGTAAGACGAAAAATCTCAGGCTTGAGTTGTGCACTACGCATAGGTTCCGCCAGTGATGAGGAGCTCGTAGGCAGGATCTCTACTCCTTCTGCACAACACAATGCATGCACACAGCATGCCCAGCAGCTGTGGGGAGAAGACAAAGGGCGAACAGGCTGAAACCCTCTAACGGCAAGTATTATTTCTTTTTTGGCAATGGAGCTATTTCAAAGTTCAATGACCTCAAATCATCAAAAAAGCAGTAACAACAGTAACAGAAGAAATTTTTTATGAACACATTATTTTTTAAGGATTGTCTTAAGTACTAGGCCTCAGCTTCCCTGCCTTACACCAGGATCTCTTTGTGAAGCCGGCAGAGAACCAAGGCCCTCTCACTGCCATCCCCATTATCAATCTCGAGCAGTGCTGTCCAAAAGAACTTTCCACCATGATTGAAACATTCTTTACCTGTGCTATCAGATAAGGTAGCCACTAGCCACATGTGGCTACCGAGTGCTTGAAATGCAGCTAGTGCAACTAAGGAGCCGCGTTTTTAATTTAAATTGATTTAAATTTAGACACATATGGCTTGTGGCTTCTATACTGAAGAGTGGAATTCCAGTGAGTGGTATGATCAAGAATACATGTGTTTCATGGTGGTCTTTTCAGGCATTTGGGATTTGGGGAGATAGGCTTCATAATAATCGATAAAATTCAGCACATGAATAGCCCTATGAAAATCAATCCTGATGCTAAAAAATGTAGCTTGAAGGTTTTGTTTGTGTCACAGTTACTATTTTTGAAATAAGGTTTGGTTCTGTGGTATTGCATACATATTACTTTTTAAGGTCACTCTTCCTTCATCATTTTATTTTAATAAGTCCTAATCCTTCTGTGGTAGCATATTGTAGTAGTAATAAAGTCATGCCACGTCATTTTTGATAAGCAAGAATATTAAATTGGATTAAAGAGAAAATGATTCTAGAATTTTTGACCCAGCTTCTCACAAAATATAAACAGTAACCAAAGGACTAAATAACAGTAAGTTAATTTGCTGTCCTAACTTCTCATTGAAAGTGAAAGCCCTGTTATTCGACTTTAAAAAGCAGGGCCCTCTATACATATGGGGTCAACCTAATTTCAGCAAAATATACCCGAACTGTAAACAGACTCTCAAAGTTTGAAGTGGAAGATTAACTGCTAATGAGACACTCATACAGAGAGTAGGAATGTTTTCAATCTGCATTCTCCATGGTTTAAAGCCGCACAACTCCAATTTCTGCCCTCACATTAGCCTATATTCTACCCATTCAGAATATATATTTACTGCTCAAACCATCAGTTTCATTACATCACTATTTGCTGAGTGCTTACCGGTACAAAGCATCTAAGAGGCATTTTTAAAGTGGATATTGTTGAAAGTTTACTAAATATCTTAAGCCAGTTCTAGAGATGTCTAGTGTCTAATACCTAGAGAAATACATTTCTGTTCACTGTACATCAAAACATTGTTAAAATAGCTATAAAATCAAACACAATTATGTTCCCAGGCAATGTTAAATTGAGCAATAAAAATGCTAAGCTCAGTAATTACTGATTTGCTAGGGGAAAAAACAAAATCTTTCTTCCCATCCCCACCTCTTCATATTCTTTTCAGTTGGTTAATTTTACTGGAGGAGTCAGCACTCTCAAAATAAGGTCTGAAATAAGAATCATTTCTTTCTTGACTGTTTTATTTCAATTAAGTTAACTTGTATTGATTTAAAAACAATTAAATAAGCTTGATAAAACCCTACTTATGCTTGAGAATGAGTCTGTGTAAGAACAATAAGATCTACACAATAACTTCTTATCCTTGCCATTGAGTGTTAACAAGCCCATTTCCAAAGCTATGCTATACTGAAATTTCACTGATTATTGAAACTCCAACAATAGACTTGAAAATATTATACAAATATTTTAGCTCCAATGTTATTTCTTGGAATGAAATTTTCCATTGCAGTACTGGAGTCACAAGAACTAATCTTCAAGGGCCGGCCCGTGGCTCACTCGGGAGAGTGCGGTGCTGATAACACCAAGGCTGCGGGTTCAAGAACTAATCTTCAAGGGCCGGCCCGTGGCTCACTCGGGAGAGTGCGGTGCTGATAACACCAAGGCTGCGCGTTCGGATCCTATATAGGGATGGCCGGTTTGCTCACTGGCTGAGCGTGGTGCTGACAACACCAAGTCAAAGGTTAAGATCCCCTTACCAGTCATCTTTAAAAAAAAAGAACTAATCTTCACCTAGCCCAAACACCTAGCAACCACAAAAACTGCCCCCCGACCCCCCAAAAAGATTACTGAATACAGAGACAAGTGGTGATTTAAGAAACTAACCGCCAAAGCAAAATGTTCTGTGATACGCTATGTATGTGATGATGTGAGAAAACAGGTATTCTTATATGAGAATAAGAATTCTTGCACATCGGAAACACTCTTCTGAGAAAAATTTTGGTAATTCCTACCAAAATTCATTGATATATTCCAACCCCCCAATATCATGGCTATACATTTTTGCTATAAATAGACTTTGAGCGTGCACACAGAGAAGATTCACTGCTTGCATTTTTGTAACAGCAAGACCTACATAAGTGCCACTTAATGTTGATTAGACAAAGTATACCCATAAAACATAATACTATGCAGCCAAAAAGTAAATAAAGTAGGTCTATATCCAAAAGATACTGAGTTGTTTTTAAGAAGCAAGGTACAGGGCCGGCCCGGTGGCGCACTGCTACAGTGCGCCGCTTGGGAAGCGTGGCGGCGCTCCCGCCGAGGGTTCAGATCCCACATACAGACCGGTTCCCGCTCACTGGCTGAGCGAGGTGCGGGCGCAACACCGAGGGTTGCGATCCCGTTGCCGGTCCCGGTACGGGCGTGACACTGAGGGTTGCGATCCGTTGCCGGTCACGAAAAAAGACAAAAAGGGAAAAAAAAAAAAAAAAGAAGCAAGGTACAAAAGGTTACAATCTGTATGATTCCATTTATATAATATTTTAAATGACAACATTTTAGAAATGGAGGACTTATCGGTTGCCAGGGTAGGGGGCAAGGAAGATGGTACAGTTATAAAAGGGTAACAGGAGGGATCCTTGTGGTGTTGGAACTATTCAGTATCTTGTCTGTGGTGGTGGATACAGGAAACTACACAGGTCATAAAATTGTACAGAACCAAATACACATGCAGAGAAATGAGAAATCTGAGTAGATTATCTTGATGCCAATAAACTGGTTGTGATATACTACCAGTTTTGCAAAATATTACCACTGAGGGAAACTGGGCAAAGCATACAAGGGATCACTCTATTATTTCTTACAATTTCATGTAAATCTACAATTATCTCAAGTAAAACAAAAAGCAAGGTACACAATTGCATCCTACAAGCTTCTATTTGCTTAAAATATATATATGAGTTGGTATAAGCAAAAACTATTTCTGGAATAATATTCAGGAAACTTGACAGCAGTGATTGTCTCAACAGAGGGGGACTCAAGAACCAGGGTCAAGACTGAGAGGGAGGCTCACTTTTGACCAAACTTGTATCATTGTATACCATTTTTTAAAAATTTGATCAAATAGGTACTTTCAATTAAAAAAAAAACTACCAAACAGTTAGCAATTAGGATTTATTTTCCCCAAATTAAAACAAAACAAAACAAAACAAAAACACCCACCTGAGCACTTGGATCAGCTTTTCATAACTTTGGTTGAAGTTTTTAAGGGAAGAATTACTTGAAATATTTTTTAAAAGGATTGTCAGAATTAAGCCACTCAATCATCTTGTGCCTGGGGGTCCAACCTGACATGCTATTTACTCAAATATTTTAATGAATAACTGGTAATCAAGAAGGAAGAGGAAGGAAAGAGCAGTCTCAACCTCCTTCACACTTGGCATAGAGACCAGAGAAAACCAACATGGCCCTGGGAAACAGTTCTCTGTGAAAGTTTGCTCTTGATCCCTCTATCTTGAGGACATGCCACCTTCATGAGACTCCCATTTTTCACATCTTATCTTTACAGACAGCCTTGCCCACAGCAGATACTTAAGAGCCTGACAAATCAAAACCTAGATTTTTGTCTATTATTATGACCAGATCCTTTAAATACAGAATTCATAATTGATCATTTGTTAATTTAAGAGGCTGACTATTCTCAAAGATGTGAAACACCTTGCTGATTAATAAGCTAACAAGCTAAGGGGTGTAGCAAAAATTTAAAAACCTCATTCTCTTATATTCAAAAATCCTATTATAATAATGAGCTAGTATTTTTCAGATTTTTCTTTCTTGATCATTTTGGTCCTACCCAAATCTAGATTATTTAACTAGATTACAGCAAGGGTCAGCAAACATTTTCTTAAATGGCCATACAATAAATATTTCAGGCTTTGCAAGCCGAGAAACAAAATCAGTCTCTGTTGCAACTACTCAACTCCGCCATTTTATGTCTATATTTTATCCAGCTGAAGTGTCAATTAATTGTCAAGTTTCATAACAGAATTTAGGAATTTAATCTCCCGAGAATCTTAATTCTTAGATTTATAATTAGAGGCAAAGTATTAACAGAGCCAAGGTTCAAACTTCAGTTTTGCCACTGTCGGTGTGACAGTCGTAAGTCATACTATCCTTGCTTCCCCTAGTTTTTGTGGCAAAACAAAGGGAACAAGGACTGGAGCATCTCCAAGCATCATTTCCAACTCTAAATTTCTATATCGGAACTGGTGTACAAGTACAAAAGCTCACTGGTTATTTGAGTTATTTCTGCCTTTGTTCAGGTTTCCCATGCCCAGGACACTATTCTACACCAGATTTTGAATACCAAAAGCTTAGAATATTTACAGGTACTCTTTAAAAAAAGAAAACATATCAGGGAAAATTCTTTATTACTTCAAATGGATGGTTTTTCCTTTAAAACCAAAGGTTTTCGGTTTTTTTTTTTTTTTTTGTCTTTTTTGTGACCAGTAAGGGGATCGCAACCCTTGGTGTGGTGTCACCCGCGCCACGCTCAGCCAGTGAGCACACCGGCCAGTCCTATATAGGATCCGAACCTGCGGCGGGAGCATCGCTGTGCTCGCAGCGCCACACTCTCCCGAGTGCGCCATGGGGCC